GATATTGAGCTTAAATTTGTACAGTATTAGATGAGTCACCACCACAGATGCTAAAAAGTCATCAGGTCTTCATTTAAAACTTAGATTTTAAATATGTTCTTTCATGCTGTTGGTCCGTTAGCTAAAGCAGCTGCTTTTTGACTTTGACAAACATAAAATTGGAAGACTGTTCAACAGATAAGGCGCTACAGTTTGGTGTGTTGGTAACAGAACTAAACATCACATCAGATAGTTTTAGTTTAAATCTCTGTGATCATTCCTTCATGGAGTGATGCAGCTATAGTTTTAACATGGTTTTATGGGTTAAATGATCTCCACCTAAACATTAACTAGGCTTTGTAAACAACTTTCTCTTTGCTGTGTAAAATCTTATAGGCTACTGCAGAAGTTCGACTTCCCCGCCATGCGGTTTTCTCTCTTCTTCTTGGGCTACGAGGACAAGAAGGAGATCCCTGCAGATGTGAAGGAGAAGACAGCCTCTTCGGGTCAATACGGTAATTTATATGTAGTGCAAAAATTAATTGTTTTTAAAGCCTTCTTGTTAAAAGATCTGTTATGTAAGGTTTGAGTGGGAGCTTACTGAGAAACCCTGACTTCAGTTTAGTTTCCGCTTTCATTTATCTCTCTTCAAATTCCCCAACACACTCACTCACTCGCATGCGCGCACTCGCGCACACACACACACACACACACACACTGGTGAAGTCTGAGGGGAGAACAGGACTTATGTGTGTTTTAGTCGGGGCTCGTGGGAGATTTTAAGCTCCAACAAAATTCATAGAGGCTCAGAGATCAGTTTTAGATTGCTGATTAACTGCATTCTAGGTCCCCTTTGAAGGTCTTTGATCTAATGCAGCGCTGCTGATGGAGACTATTCTAAAATTTTAACTAATGAAATAATTTACTTTTTAAAAAAACTAAACGTTTGCTGTGTTCTCTGTAAACAATATGGAAGTATTTCCTCTGGAGAGCAACTTAATAAAATATCATACACATCCAGGCAGAGATGGGCCAGATCACATTACTGTGATTCATCCAAGAGGAAAACATCATGAAATGTTAATTTGCACCGAGGCGTAGAAGAGACTAGCCCTTTCCGACCCGATCATTTACCACGTCTTTCCTTTCTGCAGCAAATGCAGGCAAAGATACTTAAAACGTTCACGTTGAGCTTGTGGAACTTGAGTTTATAAAACAAAAACACGTGTTACGTGGTTTCCTGTTAATGAAACCTTTTAAAATAGTCTAAAGCGACCTGCCCTCAACCTAATGCATTGATCTGTCCCCCGTGGAACAATTCTAACATTAGAAAGCTAATCTGACCCTGGTTATATCAGTTAACTGGTTTCTAACTTTCTTAGTTTATGACCAGCAGTCTCAACCTGGAAAAGTACTGGTGTCCCCTCATAAGGCTGAAGGCCAGAGTATTACTGATACTCATGTATGTAGGAGAACAACTTTGTATGGCTGTTGTTGTCCTGGGAGCATCGCCGGGTTGTGTGAAAAATATCTTTTAGTATGTAATAAATGTATTAATACTCACGTTAAATTGTATGGGTTTTTTTATTTTAGAGACTCAGCAATCATAAAGTCAACATTTTCTGTCTTTATTTCTTTTTCATCATCAGTAGACTTATTCCAGACTTGACAGGTTCGTCTGAATTCAGCCACATTGGAGGTTTTCAGCAGGAAAATCCTGTTAAAAGTCAAAGGTCAGGCATTCTCCTTCAAGACATTCTGCTAGAAAGCAGAATTCATGGTTCCATCCTTTACATCAGGTGGTCCAGGTCCTGAAGCAGCATGGCAGCCCCAGACCACCACACTACCACCACCGTGTCTGGCTTGTTTTTGTGCATTTTACGCTTTTATGCAAATTCAAACATGCTCCTGCTCTGGGATTAGAGCACTGGGAGAAAACCCACATGTTTGGGCCGAACATGCCAACTCTGCACAGAAAGACTGCAGCCGGGATTCAAACCAGCAACCTTTTAGTTGCAAGGCAACAGTGCCACTACCTGCTCCACTATGTAGCCCGTAGGTCTGATCTTTTTGTGTTGGTTTGAATCCAGACCAAGATGTCTCCCTTTTTTGTCTGTCAGTTCATAGAATGTTTTCCCAGAATTCCCCGGGATCGTCGTGATGGTTATCCTCACTGACACGTGTGGGTCGATGAGACACTCTGCGGGTGTGTGTTTTTGAGTTGGCCACTAGAGGGCGCATCTAACCTAGAGGAAGAGTGACTGGAGGGTGGAGGACAATGAAGTCACAAGTTGAACGTCTCACACTACACCTTCAATTCAAAATCCTCTCCATTTGAAACTCTTCCTCAGCTGTAATCAACGTACATCTCCATCTCTTTGCAAGTCATAGACATTTTAAGTTTGACTGGATACAGAAATGTTGTGATGCTAATTTATTCATGGGGAAACATGCTGACCACTTTCTAACTGAACCTTAAAGTCAGTTTCTGTGGAGCTGTTTGTGTAGATTGCTCCGTAAACAACATTGGTTTGAAGAAATAGAGTAATTGTAACTGGCTTGAAATCGGTGAGTATCAACACATTCATCTTCACACTGAGGATTCCAGTTAGGTGGTCCAGGAACTTGTCTAAGATGCCTCCTGGCTACCTCCCCCTGGAGTGGAAGACCCATGCATCACCCAGAGGTTTATAAATCTTCTCTGACCTGTTAACACCTTGGGATCCTCATGGAGGAGCTGGAGAGTCACTGGGAAGGAGGTAGGTCTGGGTTACCCTCATGAATACTTTGCCTCCATGACTTGACACTGGATTAGTGGATCTGTTGTCTGGATGTAACATCTTGGATCTTTTATCAGCAAACCTTAGACATTTTATGAAAGCTGAATTTAGTTTGACCAGCAGAGGTAAAACTAGGTGCTGACTGAGGATCAATTAGTAAAAAGGTTCCTATATAAGAAACCCAGCATAGAGGTTGCATAAAGTCACTGACTAGTGTCAGATTCTTTACAGCAATTCCTCATACTAAGCAAGCATTTAGCGACAGTGGAGAGGAAAACTCCCTTTTAACAGGAATAAACCTCCAGAGGATCCTGGCTCAGTATAAGCAGCCATCCACCATGAAGGTGAAGAAAGCAATGAAATGCAAAGGTTAAAACACTGTCCACTTCATCAGTGTGCCACAGGTTACTCTCTGGTCTCCAAACCAGATAACACATTGCTCGTGACCTCGCAACCGGGAGGTACAGTCATAACAGAATCTGTGCTTCGTCAGAAGACTCCAGACAAAGGACAGAAACCTTAACCCTTAATAAAAGAATGTTATTCTTTCTCATACAATCAAGTATTCACTTTAAAGATTAATTAGAATTACATTATGTAATTAATCTTTTAACTAAAGCGATTTAATATAATAAAATAATGTCCTGACTGCTTTACAGTAATGAATGAATCAACATAATAGATGTCACGGCCTTTATACTTCCAAAAAAAATTTGATTTCCAACTAAAGGCCGTTGGTGAAAACAGATGATTTCCTCTAAGCACACACTTTAGACTTGATTTCTTACAAATTTTATAAATGGTTTATTCTTCCAAAAAATAGTTCAGAATTCATTCAAAATGTTCTACTTTTGATCAAATGAAAATTAACCTTAAATAAAATTATCAGGTATAAAAATGGTAAAAAAAAAATCATTTAACCAAATCCTCCCATTTTCCCTGACACTTGGCCAACAAACATTCTTTCACACACCTCCCCATGTGCTACTAATAAGCTTAATGACTAAGGCGTGTCCAAAAAATTCAACTACATCAATTTGCCAAAAAACTAAAAATTAACAAATTTTAATTGCAAACTTAACTTATTATAAAGGGAATGATAAAAGAAGGAATTCTAAAAGAAATTTATAACTAACAGATTTATGTTACTTTACTGAAAGGGCCACCACATTCTGGCCCCTAATTCATGTTTAACACGAATTACATTTATACCTCTAGTGGCCGTTACAAAATGGATCATTAACATTAACAAACTTACATTAAACATGAGCTTTCCTTTTCTCAAAGAATTCATTCAAATTTTGACATACAACATTTCATAAAACGAATAACCCCCCCTTTTTTAAGGCGTCCATTCATGTCTTCTGAGAACAAAAACAGAGATCAATGTCCTCTTTTAAGTTCTTTTCATCTTTCTTCATTATGTGTATGTTATATAATGAGATTGTCATGGTATGCGTCTGCCCCCTCCTTCATGTGCCTCCTGGTGTCCTCCATCCCTCTCTAGATTCCCTTTTGTGTCTCACAGCGCCCTCATGTGTCCTTTGTCTGCGTCTCATTTATGTGTTTGTAGGCATTCGATCATGGTAAATGGTAAAATGGTAAATGGCCTGTATTTGATATAGCGCCTTCTAGAGTTCTTGAAACCCCCCAAGGCGCTTTACAACACAATCAGTCATTCACCCATTCACACACACACATTCACACACTGGTGGGGATGAGCTACGATGTAGCCACAGCTGCCCTGGGGCGCGCTGACAGAGGCAAGGCTGCCGAGCACTGGCGCCACCGGTCCCTCCGACCACCACCAGCAGGCAACGTGGGTTAAGTGTCTTGCCCAAGGACACAACGACAGTGACAGACTGAGCGGGGCTCGAACCTGCAACCTTCCGATTACGGGGCGAGCACTTAACTCCTGTGCCACTGTCCCCATCCCTTCCAGTTGTAGCTCCAGCCTCTTTGTCCCCGGCTCTGTGTCTGTTTGGGTGTGTACGTGCCCATTCCCCAATAGCTGGGTTTCATGTGACGTCATCACCAGCGTGCGCAAATTCGTTGGAGGGCAGGAAGTGAAGTGGAATACAGCAATTTAGCAATCGCAACGGTAAAAATGCCTATGTTTTGTGTTGTTTATGGTTGCTCCAATCGCTCTAACCGAGAAAAAAATAAAAGATTTTTTAGAGTACCGAAGGTTGTCGTTCACAGAGGCGACAAGTATAAAAAGCTTACAGAACAACGTCGGCAAAAATGGATTTTAAACCTACGCCTGCGGTCAGGAGGAGCAGAGTCTGACAATGCCCGCGTCTGCGGTGACCACTTCCTCCAAGGTATATTAACAGCTAACGTTGTTTTATGGCGGTGTTTAAATACCGCAATGTTAGTTCTATTGTAGTGATTACTTGTAGTCTTAATATGAACATTATTCGACTTTTTAGGCCGCCCTAGCTCCTTAGATGAGGTTGAGTCGGAAGACTGGGCTCCAACGGTCAACCTCTGTTACCAGAAGTCTAAGCCCAAGTCAGAAGCCTCTCTTCAACGGGATCAGAGGATGAAGCTAAAGGAAGACAAACAAAAACGGTATGATTGTGCAGAAACTCTGTTGGATCTTCAGATACCAGACAAGCAGAGAGTTGAGAGCTCTGAACCAACGCTGACACCTGACCACCCACAGTCCGAGCGCATCGGTGTGATTGAGACGTTTAATGATGGAGGTACGTTTTTTTTTATGTTTATACTGCAGATGTGGTTAAGAATCTAAAACAGCATGCAACATATAATGTAAACATATAAATGACCTGAACTTGTGTTGCGCCTTTCAGAGTCAGAGGACTCCAAAGAGCTTTACATCATTCACCCATTCACACACTGATAGTGATGACCTGCAATGCAGTCACAGCTGCCCTGGGGCGCACTGACTGAGACAACAGACAACATCTTTATTTTTTAACATATTTCTGCAATACAGTTTCAGTAAATGATCCATGCTTTCGTTCTTTTTTAAACACAGAAACAGTTTTGTTTACCTGTTTGTAGCTACGGTTTCGCCGACAGCTGCCGGCTTCTTCAGGCTGACGCTGATGGTGGCGCGTCACTTCCTTCTCCGTTTATAGAAGAAGGAACGGAGAAGGAAGTGACGCGCCACCATCAGCGTCAGCCTGAAGAAGCCGGCAGCTGTCGGCGAAACCGTAGCTACAAACAGGTAAACAAAACTGTTTCTGTGTTTAAAAAAGAACGAAAGCATGGATTTACAAAGACACAGCAAGAACACACCTAAGATGTTCAGTAAATGATGTCCGGCATACCCTAAATCTAGATGCAAATACTGATTTCTTCCAATAATCTTATCAAAACAGTAATGTCTTAACTTAATGCTTATACACATTTTAGCTTACAGTTCTTTAGGTTAAAGTTGCTTTCTAGCACATAACTAAAACGATGCACCAGTTAGGGCTGCTCAATTAATCGAATTTTAATCACAATTACGATCTGAGTTTTGAATGATTATACAAACAAAACAAGCCGATAATTTGCTCCTCCCACTTGTGCTGCCCTGAGTTGCAAATGAAGCGCTCCCAGTGTTGCCAACTTGGCGACTTTGACGCTATTTCCAACAGCTTTTCAGGCCTTCTTGATTTTTTAAATCTTAAAAGTACCTAGCGAACACCTGAGAAACATCTCTGGTAACCCTTAGCTACTTTCTGGATAACTGTCGTTGACATTTCCTGCAGGTTAGCTAAACACTCCACCTGCGCTCCGGACCGTTCTTCAGGACATTAGGAAAGGGAATGATGTAGTGATGTGTCAGTCGCTAAAGAAACAGCTCTCAGAGCCGGCTCCCTGTTGGATTAACCAGAGTGAGTGACACGCACACCGCACCTGCGGACTTCTGAGCCACTAAAAACGGCTAAATGTGCGTGTGCGGCGCGCTAAACAGTGCAGCTTGCCCCTGATTGCTGTGAGACCAGGTTGGGGGGTGGGGGGTGCAGCTGTGGTTGGGACAATTATTACATTAACTGATGGACTTGTAAATTATAAATAAGGTAGAAATAAGTTCCTCACGCTGATAAATAATAACTAATCTCTCTGAGGACACGGTGCTAGTGCACTCTCCTACAGCACCTTGACACGACTCAATAAATGTTATGCAACATTTTGTGAACATCAGTTTATTTGCATTTATTTGTTATAAATGCCACTGTATAATTCTTGCTGTCAGTATTTGCAAGATATTGGTATTTGGGTCTGTACTGGTTAGACTTAAATGAATTAAACCAAGGTCTATAGCCCTTGGGTCATAAACTATGAGCTATAAGTATATTGGTCTTTTTATACTGGGAATCAGGAGTTATTTTAGTGATCATCTTGTTTCTTATTTATTTTTGTCCTGATTGCGCCCTGAACAATTTTATGACTGAATAAAAACAAATAAAATCAACATAAATTGAAAAATCGTCCTAAATAATCGAGATCACAATTTCAGTCACCAAAATCGTGATTATTATTTTTGCCATAATCGAGCAGCCCTAGCACCAGTTATTAACACGGCTTCTGATTTTCCCAGCCATTATAATAGAAATGAATCAAGTGCTGCTTAAAATAGGGACATCTAAAACAGGGAGGTGTACACATCTTGTAAAATTGTCATTACACATTTTTAAAAAATAAGATTTTTTTTTTACATTTACCATGGCTCTACAAATCATTTGGCTCAAGTGCTTGGTAGAGTTGCAATCTTTTTATCCTATCTCAACTGTTTATACATTATTTTTAATGATACAGACACAATTACTTGACTTGACTTCAGTAATTATGCCCTCCGATTGCAGGCTACGCAGATGCCGGGACCCAGACAGAGCTTACGATGAAGGACATTGAGAAGATGGAGGACGTTCTGAGACAGAACACAACAGAGCTGGCAGATCTTCACTCCAAAAAACTGGACACAAATTTTTGTCAGAACTCATTTGAAAAAAAAAATGAGGACAAGACTAAATTCTACAAGGGACTCCCCAACTTTTTAGTTTTATTGCAGATTTTTGAGCTGTGTGAGCCCTACATCACCTATGGCCCCATGTCTGTGCTGTCTAAATTTGAACAGTTTATGTTAGTTTTAATTAGGTTGAGACTAAATCTCCCACTGAAAGATTTAGCTTTCAGATTCAAGATTTCTCTGTCCAGTGCTTCCAGAATTTGGCATAAATTAATTGACATACTTTATGAAATACTAGAATTTCAAATTGAGTGGTCAGAGCGACATGTACTTCATGCAACAATGCCAATGTCATTCAGAGAGGCATTTGGAAATAAAGTTGCTGTGATAGTTGATTGTTTTGAAGTTTTCATTGAGAGGCCCTCTAATTTATTAGCCCAAGCACAAACTCGGTCAAATTATAAGCACTATCATACTGTAAAATTTCTAATTGGAGTTGCGCCCCAAGGCTATGTTACATATATATCTTGTGCCTGGGCAGGGAGAGTCAGCGATAAGCAGATTACATTAGAGAGTGGCCTCTTAAAAAACTTGTTGCCTGGAGACATTATATTAGCAGACCAATTTTACCGCAAAGACTACAACTCCCATGATGCTTTGCGGCGCCAGCGCGGAGCAGACGCGCCCCCTCCTTTGTGTTTTTTCAGCGCCGAGGCAGTCAGAGGTAGTTGGGTGTCTGCAGCTCCGCTGTCTCGGACAAACTACACTCCTCTCAGCGCCGAGTTCACTCAGCTGTTTTCTGACGTTGAAGCCCAGAAACGGAGATTCTAACCGCTCAGTAATGTGTTCACGACTGAAAGAGAAAGTTTTCAAACTAACGTCCAGACAGAGCTGATATAACTTCAGCAAGCAGCGACACGCTCAAACCAGCACGACTCTGTGGCTGCTGTCGTGTTTCCTCCCTGACACAACAACGTGGTCAAGCTGCTCAGACATGTTCATCAGCACAAACCTATGTGAGCACCTGTTGTCATCTAATGTTGTCATTATTATGATGAAGATAAACAAAACAATAGGAGCCTCCTCCTCAGCTCAGATCAGCCCCATGATGCAGGTATCTGGCTGGAACAGGTGAGCATCACAGTAAACCAGTGGAGCAAACTGAGCTTTAAATATGTTGGATTTATGCTCTTTTTCTGCTCCAAAACATGAAAGTTAACAGGTGAGATGTTGCATTTTCATTTAAGATAAAATGATATTTTTATTTTGTTGTTGTTCCGTGAGAAAAGATTTAACCTACAGTAAACAGGAAGTGGAAAGGCTGCAGATAGATGAATAGAATAGAAAATCCCTTTATTGTTCCTCAGTGGGGAAAGCTAGATGTCACAGCAGCGATGACACTTATTACAGGAGAAAAAAAAGGAGAATAAAAATAAGAAAAATGAATAAACAATAAAACATAAATCCTGAATAAAGCCAGGGGTGCAGACTCTCCCACCAGATCCACGGTGCAATTCAACCTGACAACAGTTATCTTTATTTTCATTTACATGAACGATCATGAGGAATCATCTGGACAAATGTGAAAGAAAAAAATCTGTAGAGAAGGAAAATGGAAAGTGTAGGAGAAAACGAGGATGTACTTCTTTAGTAAATGTTCACTGATGAGTTTTCGTGTTTGGGAAATTACAAGTGAGGTCAATCACAAGTTGTGTTTTCATAAAATAGTGTTTCCATCTGAAAATAAGTCAGGGTTTTATTTTAACTTTATTTCTCAGTGTTGCAGCTGGATGCTCTTCTGCGCACCTCTAACAGGTTACCAGACATTTGAGATTATTTTCTAGTTATTCAATTAAATGATAATTGTATAATGAATATTTTTCTAAAGCAAAGTTTTAATAAGTTATTAAATCAGACCCATCAATGCCATAGACACAATCTCTGTCACACCGCTGCATCTTTCGGATCATTACTTCATCCATTTCAGCACGACTCTACAAGGGAGGTCCACTGCTTCCTCCCCAATGGTCTCATTCCGCCGCAACCTCCGCAATCTGGCACCCAACTACTTCTCCTCTCTTGTTGCCTCCACTCTTCCATCTCCCAGCACATTCTCTGCTTATGAAGTGAATGAAGCCACCTAGTCACTCTGCTCCACACTCTGCTCTTGTCTTAACAACTTGTGCCCTTTAGCCACTAGACCTGCTAGATCCTCTCAGTCGCACTCTTGGCTAAATGATACCCTCCGGTCTCTACGCACCAATCTTAGAGCTGCGGAACGGAAATGGCGCAAAACAAAAGATCCTGGTCATCAATTGAAATTTCAGGAATTACTGTCCTCATTCTCTGCCAGCATCACTGATGCAAAGAAAGCTTTCTACACTGACAAAATTCTCAGCTCTATTGACTCAGAAACTTTTTTCAACATTCAAAACTCTGCTCAACCCTCCATCTCCACCTCCTACCAACATTCTATCAGCTGATACCTTTGCCTCATTTTTCACTGACAAAGTGGCAGCTATAAGCAAACAGTTTACTCAACTGGACACTCCTGAACATTCGCAACCACAAACTCCTTCTAGCCCAACCATCTCAGGCCCTACTGCTTCATTTTCCTCTTTTTCCCCTCTCACTGAGAATTGTGTGTCCAAGCTTCTCACGTGCAGCCGCCCTACTACATGCCCACTTGACCCCATTCTGACTAAGCTAATCTAAGCTATTGCTCCTACAGTAGCCGCAGCAGTCATACGTGATCAACGCTTCACTGACATCCGGTACATTTCCCACCTCTCTCAAGCATGCTCAGGTTAAACCTCTGCTAAAAAAAACCATCTCTTCCTCCAAATCACGTGGAGAACTACCGACCTATCTCTCTCCTCCCTTTTCTGTCCAAAATCATTGAAAGGGTGGCTTTCAAGCAGATCACAGAATACCTCTCACAAAACTGTCTGCTTGACCCTTACCAGTCTGGGTTCAAACAGGGCCACTCCACTGAAACCGCTCTGTTAGCAGTGACTGAATCCTTAAAAGAAGCTAGAGGGACAGGCAAATCCTCAGTGTTTATCCTGCTCGACTTATCGGCTGCATTTGACACTGTCAACCATGGCTTCCTTTTGTCCACACTCTCTAGCATGGGCATCACAGAGTAAGCACATGCCTGGTTTGAATCGTACCTCACAGGACGATCATTCAGTGTATCTTGGCTTGGACAATCCTCTACCATGCACCATCTTGCCAAAGGGGCCCCCAGGGCTCTGTACTAGGACCTCTTCTCTTTGCCACATACACCACCTCACTGGGTGAGATCATTCGATCACATGGCTTCTCCTACCACTGCTATGCAGACGACACCCAGGTCTATGTGTCATTTCCACCGGACGACCACACTGTCTCTGCATGAGTGTCAAACCGTCTCTCTGACATAACAAAATGGATGAAATCCCACCATCTCCAACTCAACCTCTCTAAAACTGAACTACTTGTCATCCCAGCAAAACCATCCATACAGCATAATATCGCAACCAAAATGACTTCCTATTAGAGCCCTGCACGGGCCTAAAATCTGAGCCCGTGTCCGGCCCGGCCCGAGGGGGTGGAGCCCCAGCCCGACCTGGCCCAAAAAGGTTTTCAGGATTCTCTAGCCCGACCCGAGCCCGAGCCCAACTTTTTTTTAACCATCTAAATGAAAACAAAGTGTGTCAATCCTGACCAATGTGTTAAAAGACGTGCAGGATCCGATCAATTTGTTTTTCCCTCATTTACCGTCACAGGGATGATGGCGCACTGGCTCTGGTGGTAATCAAGTTAAATTTTATCTCTTTCCAACAATTTTCACAAGAAAACAAAACAGTTAAAAGCAGGGCTTGTGTTGTGTTGACCAGATAGTTCCCGTATTTGATCGTTTATTTTGACGGAGAAAGAATAGGAAGAATTACCCCGACGCATGCAGACGAACTGACATTTCATTCTACGCACATCGCAGATGTTGCTAAATCACCCAAGAAAAGATTCCCATCTGAACATCTGAGCTGCACACTGCTCAGCGCAGCTCGCTGTCAGCGCATATGTGCACAGCGAGCTGAAGTTGTGGAGATTGGCTTGGAGCGCGTTGCAGAACCAGAGAGCATGCGGGAAGGTTCCTCCCACTGAAGCGAGTATTTTCCAAACCCTGTCTCTCAGAGAGACTTGTCACTTAGAAAATGTTCCCTGATTATGAAACTTTGGCTGAATAGTGCTTTTTCTTGTCTCCGATATGGTGACACATCCAGGAGCCGTCTGAGGAGAATCCCAGAATCTCACATCCTCTTCAGCTCAGGAAGCGCCTCTGATTTTGCACAAGCGTGACCCATCAACCCGGTCTCACAGTAAGACTGGGTTGGGCCTGTTCAGGTTTACGCAGACATTCTTTACATAGAATTTACATACAGATATAAAATTAATTCAGTAAAATATAAAGCATTTTATTTAAATATCCATTCATTATTTTACAAGCACAGAGAGCCGCATCAGATTCAGATCAGCGGGAAGATTCCTCCGACTGAATTCAGTCGGAGGAATCTTCCTGCATGCGCTCTGGTTCTGCGACATGCTCCAAGCCCCTCTCCACATCTTCAGCTCGCTGTGTACCTTATGTAGTACACGCTGACAGTGAGCTGCGCTGAGCAGTGTCCAGCTCAGATGTTCAGATGGGAATCTTTTCTTGAGCGATTTAGCTACATCTGCGATGTGCGTAGAATAAAATGTCAGTTCGTCTGCATGCGTCGGGGTGTTGGCGTTATTAGGAGCGAACAATTCGTAAGCTTTAACTTACTTTTGGATTCTTCAATAAATTCTGTAAATATGGAACTATTTACTGATTTATTAATTAATTAAGATATTCTTAGATATCTTCGGGGCACCACCCTTTAATTAGAAAGGGAAATGAATCCAAAACTCTTATCAGTCTTTCTTGAAGTTCGTAGAATCCTCGGAGCAGAGACTTCTCTTCGACACAACAAAGCTACTGGACACAAAAATCTGAATTTTATAACATTTAATTAACAATTTGTCAAATGAATAAACAGTGGAATAGATGAATAATAACCGTGTGATATGATTGAAGATGGATGTGTTTGCATGTGATGGAGGATGTATGAATGGGGTCCTTTGTTCTCACAAAGGAGTAGTGTGTGTGTGTGTGTGTGTGTGTGTGTGTGTGTGTGTGTGCGTGTGTATGGATTCAAAATGGAGTCTTGAATACAAGATGGCTGACCCCTTTGTCTGGCTAAAGTGTGGGTGGCAACTTGCACTTTAACTTCCAAAGCACTTAGAATCAGTAGTAACTTAACCTTAAATCACTCAAAACATTTCAAAAGATCATGAAACAACACAAAAGATTAATCACAAATTAATATCTTTTAGTTTCAGCCTGGCCATGACAGAAACCATTTTAAGATACCAAACAATGATCAATAAGCAGTTTATTCTTTCAAAATGACCCGACGGACGTGTTTGGGACGAAAGAGGAAAACACGAAGCTACTTTTTAAGCAATAGCGCGGTTTTATTGCTTATTCTGGACTATAGAGTTAACGGAAGAAGAAGGAGAGAGAGAAAGAGATGAGTTGCTGATCACCAGAAGAGCGAGGCGTCCCTCCCTCTTTGATTTGACGGTTCTCCGTGTTTCTCCGCAGCTTTCGGCGTCGTCCGTCAGTTTGATGCTTTCTCCGTTGTTTGGCGTTCACGAGTGTTTCTCCACGGGCTGGACAGAGACAGCAAAGTTTCTTTCTGTGCTGAGTTATAACTTACAGCGTGCTTGATGGAGTTGTTGCTTTCCTCCGCAGTTCTGTGTCCTCAAACATCAGCTGGAGGGGAGCAGAAACGAGCAGATCTGATGGGCTTGCAGTTTAGTTTCCAGCAGTTCCGTGGGCTCAACTTGGGCACTTAGAGCTTCCGCGTGCTCAAGGGAGTCGGAGCGTTGACAAGCGTGTCCTTACCGCCAGGTATCCTGGGCAAAAGAACGAGGTTTCTTTGTCTCTGCTGAAGATTTATGGTCTTAGTTTGCGGGAAAAGCTCCACGGCTTCCCGCACATGCGCAGAACGTGTTTCTGGTACTAGGCGGTGACGTCATCACAATGCTTCCGTGTGCAAAGCATCATGGGAAATGAAGTTTCTTGGCGCTGATGTGATTATTTGCTTTTCAGAGCAATTTAAGCACAGTCATTTTGGGGAAAATCACTGCATAGTAATTTCCTCATGAGGTCAGACCCTCAACATTCCCCCTTTTGGTTTCGGGGATCGCGCCCAAAGCTCGATCGTCGGAAGCACAGATGGGTTTGTTCCTCATGAACGTAGGTCGACTTGATTGTCGGAAGCACAGGTGGGTTTGTCCCTTAGGACGTTGGTCTCCTTGGACGCCTTTGTCTTTGGTCTTTGTCTTGGATCCTGGCGCCTTTGGTCTTTGATCC